AGGGTAAATGTCCGAGGGGTAATTGTCGGGGAGTGAATGGCATGGGGGGTAATTGTCCGAGGGTAAATGTCCGAGGGGTGATTGTCCGGGGGTGAATGGCATGGGGGTAATTGTCCGGGGGTAATTGTCCGGGGGGTGATTGTCCGGGGGGTATTTGTCCTAGAACCTATTGAACATAGTAGTGTGTGAATGCACCCACTTACGTACTTACAGATGGCAGAACAAGTGTATGCATAGAATTTTGCCGTCCCTTATAAATGTGTCCATCTAGTCCAATTAATTCCACCTCGCCACTAAAAGCAAACAAATTTCTTTCAATAACATTTCATCTGAGATTGTATATACATACTGTAATGGCTATACAATGTAAATTATATTACAATATGAATGGAATATGACATAAAAATTACAGTCTACACAGTTTCCTTACTGTAAAGCTAATATGGGGACATTGGATTTCAACACCTACCTGACTATTGGTATATTATCACTCTCATCTGGAAGGCACCTGAAACAGCGGAAATGTAAAAATATTTACATATAACGTTACATAAAACGTATAACACACACCCAATGGTCACACATCATAAACTAAACCAAATTCCAATAAACATCAGGTTCATTGCGACACTTGAAAGATGTACGAGTTATTATTGCCTAAAACTGCTCTTCAACAACTAACTATCTCACCCAGAGGTCTTCATGTTGCGCTTGTGTGGGTAGAGCATCGTATGAGCCCCACCACAGGCCCTGTTCATGATGCTATACTCCCCTGTTAGACATCGCTTTGCTGGGCTGAAACACCAAGTATCCACGCTATTTAACACATTCCAGCAACATCACAGCTAACTATCAATACTGCCTAACTAAACTTAAGTTTACTCTGTTCTCCTGTCCGACTAAAAGTCGACAGTGTAAACCCAGAACCCAGATGTTTCATACACATCTACATAGCGACTCCGAACACGCCACTTGCTAAATGCGACATTTACATCTCCCGGAAATATCCAGTAAAATAAACCTAGAAGTTCCGTTCATCTCTACTGCATCTGACTGTGCTGATTTAATAATATAACGATGCCATGCAATTGCGCCATATTATCCCTTCCCTGAAACTCGAACCATTCCCCGCAAATGAGAGGCTCAGAAGGGAGAGAGCGCGGCTGACAGAACGGTATAGACTGCCGCCAGTGAAGTAGGAAGCGAGAAGGAAGTGGGTATCACTCGTGGTGCCACGATCTGCTGCTCCAGCTAGTCGTCGGTCTACAGCGAAGCAGGGAGTGCCGCGTCTCTGTCACCTTCGTCGTCGCGCCAAAGTGAACGCGGTAGGCGAGCGATTCCTGCCTCATGAGACGCGCCGTCTCGCGAGACTCCATCGCCTCCTCAAAGTGCATTACGTGACGGCAGGCGGCGCCACTGAGGAGGAAGAGGTGGAAAGGGAGCGGAGGTGTTCGTTAGAGCGATGCAGAAGGGTTGGTGAGAGCGGCACGAAGCGGTGGAACAAACGTGCGTCTCCACTCACACAACACGGCATGGTTCAGCTATGGGCAGCCCACCCACGTGTCACGCGCGACCAGCTACGAAATTTCGTTTGCCAGTCGAAATTGTTTGACAAGCGTCAAGGTTTCTGTTCTTGACGCAGTCTAAAGGTCACATTCATCACCGATATTAAAATAAACAACAGACTGCCACCATCTCCTGTTTTAATAAGCGCGTGTAAAATCCCATCCGACTTGTGGGTGGTAATTAAGTTAACTACAAGTGAACAAGTAAAAGTATCATGATATCAGGACCTGCATCATGCCTTGTAATCAAGGATGGCACCAATAGTGTAGGCAGCAAGACAATATATATATATATATATATATATTCATCAGGACCGAGCAAGAGGAGCAATTATCGCAAAAGTGCATGAGTGTTTAGCACAGTGCAGTGTCATGTGAGTGGGGGGAATTGCGCATGATAGGGATCAGAGGAAACACACAATAACAATTCATCTGTAGACACACAGTTATCATTATCAAGTATAGTCACACTAGCACACGTAAGGTAGAAGAAACATCATGCTACACACCTTTTCATACACTGGCGTAGGTGGTCAAGCTCAAAGGTAGTGTAAGGACGAGTAGATCTTGTTGCAGGAAGACCATCCTGTATGGGAAGGCTTGCAAGTGGCCTAGTGGTCAAACCAGCACATTTCTGATTAAACTGATAAACACACAAAGATTTCCTATGACCAGTCAAGACCATTTCCTCAAGCTTTTTATTAACACACGGGAATTTGAAGGGTAAAAACTACTACTTGTGCTGCTGCTGCTACTACTACCACTACCACTACCACCACTACTACTACTACTACTATTACTACTACTACTCCTACTGCTACCACCACTACTACTACCACTACCACTACGCATGTATGATGATAATATATACGATACTAATCTTAGAGATAAAAAGTTCACAATGAAGCCCAGTTTTCTGTGCAAATCAGTAAATGTAACTTACTATATAGTCACAATTCCCCTACAATTCAAACTCAATCACAACACACATCATATATGCTTGCATGTCACTTTCATCATTACTGCCAGTCATATTTTTAACAGATTTACATTTGCTCACCAAGTAAAACTAAAATTGGTCCTATAACTCGGTAAATTTCAAGTCCTGCTAATATAACTCACTGAATAAGCAGAAGCAGTGTGTGTACACTACAACTGTTAGCATAGCTCTCACCAGAACGATATATGTGTGTGCTGAGCTTTCCAATGCTTTAATTATCTGCTACAGGTTGCACTTACGCTGTCGATGCCGTTTTCACCCTCTTGTCACAGGAGATGCAATTATACAGCTGTCTGAAAATACGAGACATAGCATAATGGTGAATTCTTCATGGTGAATAAGCAATAGACATGGCACGAGACATAGTTACCATGATGAGGTTTGTTACCCTGAACACAGCAACATTGTACATCAAACAGTTTTCTCAACAGCACTTTAAATATAATAGCAACTAAATAAGCGGCACAGTGAAAGCAGCAGCATTTACTAGAGCACAGGATTTGTATTTTGTCACTACCCTTGCTATTTCAGTGTGTAGTAAAAAAGACTAGTAAGTAGGGAAGCAGGGCCTGAATTTGAAGGCAAATTCATGAATATATGAAGTAGATTGCAGATTACATATAGATTTCTCATAACCACTCATTCAGTAAATGAAGAATTAAGTTGATTCATTAACTAGAAGTTGGCAGATTTACAGTATGTCTTTAGATTCCCATGAATTAACTCCCCTGTAATTGAATTAACTCCCCTGTAATCCCCTGAATTCCCATGGATGAATTAATGTGGCTCACTTAGTCATAATAATTTTAAAATTAAAACTAAAATATTGCACACATCATTCATGAATCTGTTTCCTGCACACAAGTCCATCACGACTGCAGTAAAGTTCCTACATATCTACACAGATTTCTCTGGTTATGATGTTGGTTTAAGATGTAACAAATCCATACGGATTAGTTCTAAACTTGGACAAATTTAACCCCTGGTGCGCAGATGTACTTTCTGATGCCAGCAGCTTCGTCTGCGAGGGTTCCGGCCTGGTAGTCGGTCAGACTCGTGACTTGCTGGTCGAACTGATGAATCTTCTTCTCCATGTATTCCTCTAGTGGTCTGATGTCAGTCTTCTCCAGCTTCTGGCCGATAACGTCCGACATCTCGTCCACTGCCTGCTGCCAGTCTCTCTCCTGCGCGAATGTAGCAAGACTCGCTCAGAACACATGCTACTCTATCATAATACTAAACTACCCTCCCTACACACTATCTCTAGAGCCGGAAGGTGCTGCCCTCAAGTGGCCAGATGTGTGACAAATGTGAGATAAGTCAAACATAGGGGTGGCACATTCGCACTTCACCTCTGAACACACCAAACTGGCCCCCCTCAAAGAAAACCACGTGGTCAATGACACATAAAGCTTGCATTTTTTCCCCTAATTATTATTTCAGTAGAGGTAATATTATTATCACTATTATTTAACGGGGTGGGGTCTTGATGTTTTATGTATATTGCATATATGTGAAAAGAAACCACTATTCAAGAACATACATCTACTCTATAATGCACACAATAGTGAGACAAAACAAACATGAGGACCTATTTTTAGACCCCGTCCAAAATCCAGCTTCGACCTTCTCTGAATCAACTCTACGCAAAACAACAACTGTGCGTTTCCATCACAGTGCATGCGCGACGCAAAACAAACAGGTGTTTCGTCGTTTCGGCCGACGAACGTTAATCGCCGAGGTCAAGCAGAGGTTACCTGACCAGTGAGTTTGTCCAACATGGCGGCGATGCCTTCGCTGAGGGCGGTCGTCCGCTCCTCGAAGGTCGAGCGGCTAACCTATTATTATTATTATTATTATTATTATTATTATTATTATTATTAAATCCTTATTGCATGTAATTCAAATACAAATACATGTACTGAAGACGGACTTTTTCATGGAGAAAAAATCTGATAGATGCAATAGTGTTGAGCAGTTCAAATAATAAAATTTCTCAGTGGTACAGTACAAAACAGTGCTATACAACATAAAGGAAAAAAAATATAGGCAGTAGATTCTGTACACGTTAAGTGATTAAAGTACACTTTAACATCATTTCAACACTCACACGTGCTCACATTCACACACTCACACTCGTATAAACCTACACCAATATATATACACACGCACACGCACGCACGCCTGCACGCACGCACACACACACATATATATTTACATATATTCATTCAGAATACATCATAATAGATTCGCCGTTCTCCTATCTGCTATATGTTGATGAAATTGTATGTTGAGGGCTGACCTTGAGGCCGAGGTGGCTCTTGTCGGCTTTCGTCTCAATCTCGTGACTCATCACCTCGCGGTCGGCCTTGCTCTGCTGCAGCTGCTTCACGTAACCATGGAGACGCTGGATCTGCTCCTGCCGCACGCCGTGCTCCGACATCAGCGCGTCGACAGCGCCCCCTAGCTTTGCGACGTCCGCCTGCAGCGTCTCCACGGCGTCGTGCGCCTCAACGATCTGTGCGGACTGATCCTACAGTTAATAATAATAAAATT